CAGGTGTGATTAGGATGAAACAAAAGAGTGTAATTACTGTTAAGTAAGCAGAAAGGAGAGAGACAGATCAGGGAAGCTCAGCAAAAGAGGGCATCCTCTTAGACTACTATGAAAAAAAGTCAGTCTATATCAGAAAAATTGTCGGTTGACTTAAGAAAATACGGCTGGAGAGTGAAGGGGAGACCAAATGTAACATTTTTATTCTGTATCTGTAGTCTGCAACTTGCTGAAGCCCCCCCCCCCACTTCTCCCCAACCGATGCCATTGGGGTCATTCTGAGATGAGAGTGGGGTAAAAATCTAAGAGTAAAAGTAACATCAAGCATGACATAACCAAACGTCCAGTTCATTCTTTCAGCTCTTTGTTCACTTTTTGAAAACGGAGTTATCCACTGGCTTCCTAAGATCGTAAAACACGTACAAAGTTTACTTTGGTTTCAGAACACTGACTCTGCTCTGCCCAGAACATTTATTTTGTGTTGCTTTCAACCTTCAGTTTACTTTAGCTTTCCTTCTCCTCAAGTCAGCTAAAATACCTGCCTCTCATTTCATGCATCTCAAGAGGAGTTTGCTCTGCATGTTTTTGAGCTCAGCTGTCTCCCTGACAGACACCTCCCCTAAGTGCACGGTGAGGAAATACAGAATACTTAACAATTCTCTGGTTGATGGCAACTAGGGCACTTTGTTAAATATGTTCCTGTTCTGAAACTAAAACCATCTTTTTTTTTTTTTTTAAACCAGTAATCTGGTGGAGATTTGATGGGCATCAACAGCTTAGTGAGAGTTAGAGTTCTGTAAAACTGCCTGTGTTCCTCAGACTTCACCTCCATGGCTGAAATGCATTTCTCTGTGGAGTTATTAAACTCCCATTTAGAGTCATTATAGCTTAAATGCTTCTAAAAAAAAAGTTAATGCCCTGATGAGACTTAATGTGACAGAATACAACAAATGCCTCTTCATGCCTATTTATTTTTAAACATCTGCATATAGGTGCTGTGGTAGTTAGCTGTCACTTCTCAGTAGGAAAAATCAGAATCAGATCTCCACCGGGGCCTCATAGGGTGGAGTCGTAATGTTTTCCTCATGCAGTTGTGGGTTCCTTCCAGTTATTCCGGTTTCCTTTCACAATCAAAATAAATTAATGTTAGGCTGATAGGTTTTTCCACTTTTAGACTTTAAGTGAGTGTTAAAGGTTGTTTTTCGCTCAATGGTTCTTTGAAAAGGTTTGAGGCTCCTCTCATGCCTGAACTGGATGAAGTGTGTGTGTAAAATTTATGCATTTTCAGATAATTGTTTATTGCACAGGGGCTTAATTAAATAGGCCAAGCTTTTCTAAACTCCAAAGAAAAGGAAATGTTACAGAAAGACAGTGGATGCTGTTAGTCTGCTTTTTTCTGTTATCAAGTTTCTAAAATATTTGTTTTGGAAGAACTATTAGGAATTGGATCACGTCTAATTATACATGTACCTCTAACATTTGTATATAAATTATTTTACACAGTTTTCATGTTTACCTAATTTACCCATAAGATCAATGGTTTTGTACAGATAAAATAAACTTTTTGTTTAACTTGCTAGTCAGAATGCAGTAATAGTGTCTCTTGGAAGCAGTTTTTCCCATGATAAAAAGAAATAAAGAATTCATGACCAATCTTGTTTCTCCAAAGGTCAGCATTATTCTTGCCTTAACTGTGAATTATTCAATGTTCTTGCAAAGCTAAAGAGGAGTTAAAAACAAGCGTCCCGCTTATGATGCTGCTGTTTCTCTGTGGCCATTCATAGAGCAGACAGTGGACCAGTGAGCTCGTATCAGCGTCAGCTGACACACATCTGAGTGTTGCACCATTGGTCAAAGCCAGTGTACTGATTTGTTGGCTCACTTTAGCCCAGTTAGCTGGTTACATCTGTTTTACCACATTCTTTTCTCCCCACCTCTGTACCTTGTCATTCATTCTGGGGACGTTGTATTTCATATTTTACCCAGTTTAAAAATGGTGGGTGTTCACCTCACAACAGTGCATTTTTACCCTCACAGATTAAACAGTTCCCTGTTTATTTTTAACTGAAAAATATTTTTTTCTCATACAGTTGTTTATTGCCGATTGGAAATAATTTCCCATGTCTAATGATAAAAGGGTAAATCACTTTAACCGTGCTGACGGTAACATATTAAAGCCAGATTTAAGTTCCCTAATTTAAATAGTCAGTGAGATGGAAGCAATTAAGGAACTTAAATCATACACAAGTAACAATCCATGAAATTAGATGTGTCAAATCTGGGTTGTGTTTTTCCCAGAACCATAGCTCGACCAGTCTTTAGAGTCTTGAGCACTGTCTTCATGCAGTTTGACATTTTGATACATGGCTTTATAAATGCAAATTTAAGGCAATGTTGTTTGCACAATCATGCATATTTCCACACAATTACACACACAGATGGGGACAATGGATCCACAGTGGAGCTTGGGGTCTTTAATTGGATAATTATTTTTTCATAGCTTGAATCTAAATCCTGGACTTGTGCGGGTAACAAACAGTTGGCTGTTGTGTGCCTTTAATATTCGGGATATTTATGTTGAGTTATAGGTGCATGAGGATTTGTGACTGGTCTGTATGTGCGCATATATTTCTGCTTTATCATCAGATATTGAATAATGCCTTTATGCCTCTTACTCAGCTATGATTCTTCTCTGTCTCCGTTCTTCTTACTTTTATGATGTTAGATGCACCATATTTCAGACTACAGACAATACCTGGCCTCTAAAAAGCACTTAAAACACAGGTCAGCACAAGGTGACATACAGAATTTGCAGCTAGGGGTCCAGATGGATACAGAATTATTTGTGGGAGGATGACATTTAAAAAAAATCATTCACCTTTTTGTATATATAATTTATGTATATATAATTTTTTCTCACTTTTGTGGCTTTGTATCCCTTATTCTGTTTGTTGTGATTTCTCCAGTCTTTTTCTGCATTAACATGACCTTTTATGAGCGGACTGTGTTATGACACCGTCAGCTACAGTACAAACCATACGACAATTCCCAGTATCCACACACATATGCACTATACTTTGTTCCTATATCTCTGCTTAGTTAGCTGCGTCAGTGGATGGCAGTTTACAGGTCAGTGCATCCAGAGTGCCTTTAGCTCACAGATAATCTGGCTCAAAGGGCTTGCATGCATATGTACCCATGCACCTGCTTATGTTTCATCATTTATGTGGATCTGGTGTCTCCAATATTACAGTTTTGAGTTTCCCTCTCTGTAGGCAGCCCATATCTCATGAAAATATGTGTTTTTTTAAAAAGCGGTTTTAATTCTATTTGCTATATAACTTTAATTGTTGCACAGCTCTTATTCCATTTGTTCTTATGCTCTTACAGGTGGAGACCAACAGATTCAGATAGCAGCAATTACATAATTGCTTCCTCGTAAAATAATTGTATTAAATAATCAATAAACAAAATAATTAGTATATATTCATGCTCTGCACTATACCACCCACTCAGCAATATATATAATCACATAAGAATTAATGAAAAACTTATAACTGGAGATGCCCAGAACTTCTCATTGAGAGCTGATCTCATTAAATGAATACAAAACTATTCACATAATTGGTCACAAATTCTTCTGATTATCATGCAAGAAGCCGTGGGTTTACTGGCGGGAGGACCAGCCCCTCTCAGTTGCTCCTGTCCAAAATTTGGCCCAAAAAAGGTTTTGCATCCATCTTGAGATGAGTAGTTGGTGAAATATGGCTTCAAAGTCGAGGGTTTCCTCATGCCTCAGCGCACAGTGTGGCTTCCCTCTTGCTTGAGGCTGAGGATTTATCACACAGAAGGGACATAGATGTGCACACACAGCCATACTTACAGGTGCGTGACTACCTTCACTGATACTGCGCGTCCATCTTCCATGTAGCACAGGCTGGTTGAATGAGTGACATTAAAAACTAGATTCCAGCACACATAAGCAAATTAATCTAAACAGAGACTTTTTGATAAATGAATAAGTGGAAATCCACATAATTCCTTAGATGGATTCCAGTCTTTCCTCTTCACTCAAACATGTGTTAGAATGTGAATGAAGTCACTGCTGTTTCAAGGCCTCCCCTGGGACACATTTTGCCCAGTCACTGCAGAGATTTTATGACACAAAGGAATACATTGCTTCTACATTGGGGAAATAGGACTATTGGTATAAAGGGTACACAAACTTCATAACCTCCAGATATTCGTTTTGGGTTGGTTTCTTTAGAGTTTGCAAGTGGATTTGTGGAAACATGCTGTCAAGATATCTTCCATTTATCTGTTTACAGGGATGGTTTAGTGCAGTCAGCAGTTAGCCAGGAATGAAAGTTGCAATGCAAAGAAATAGAAAATCAGTATTGTCATCTAAAAGCTGAGATCGGTACATTTGAATTGCTTTCATTGAATTTATTGTACCAAATGTCTTTTGTTATTATATACCTAAAATTGCAATTACCTAAATATGGCTAGGCAATTATTATTTTTATTGACACAGTTGTTTCCAAGGAGGAAGAGCCCCGGTCTTGATTTTGACTGTCATTAAAAGGTGTTTGTAGAGGAATATCTTGTCAACCAGAATCAAACAAAAGTAAACATACAAATTAGGATCCTTGTGTATATGAATCTTGTAAGAATTCTCTTTGCATTAAACGGTCCTATCAAAAGAAACGACGCAGCCTGTCTGCAGGGCCGCAACTTCCTTTATACTGAGGAGGGGACCCTCTCAGACGCTGTACATGTTGCCCCGAGCAGCTGGTCTGGGGGGTTTAGCTCGCTCATGTGTGCTTGAGGAACAGGAGAAAACATTTAACTAAATTCTGCCAAGTAGCTTTCTCTCAATATTCTTTCCCAATGATACAGGGAGGGCATCAACTGTATAGAGGACGTCGTCATGACTAGCATAAAAAATATATGATTGGATCTGATTATTAACATTTTCTTTTTTATTCTGCTTCTGTCTCCAGGGAGTTTTTCCTGCCAGCTACATTCACTTGAAGAAAGCCATCGTCACCAATCGAGGGTAAGTTTTAGGATGCTGTGCCATGCAAAAGCAACCCTTATCCATAAGTTTACTCCAACATCGTTTCTTGAGTTTTGTGCAGTCATGCTTTAGTTTTATACTCTTGTGGAGGATATGGGAGGAGTTGGACCCAAAGATGATGAATGACAGTAGATGGCGAAGAACTAAAGCTGATTTCTTTATAAAAACTTAAAGAAAATGCTTTAGTCAATGAAGAAATAAAAACTCATAAGAAGGAAAAACAAAATATGAAGGGCAAACTAAGTATTGAACAAAAGCATAACTGTGGAAAACGGTTATGAAGAGCCAGGGATAAAATGGTGGTGAAAGCGATGAGGATCAGACAAAGACTGAGAGAAAGGACGAGTTGAATACAGAGAAAGATGATTAGTGAGTGGAGACAAATGAGGATGATTTACACAGGTGAAGGGAGTGGAGTGATAATAATACTGGAAGGAAAATGAGGAGTAATGAAGAGGAGTTGGTTACATAACAGAAAACCAGGACAAGGATAACAAACTAAGAATATATAACCAAGAGATTGATGAACCAAAACAATGCTGAACACAGAGAGCAAATGTAGCACACAATAATCCACAACTAACAAAAATGCCAAGATAGCAAGAAAGCTCAAAAGTGTAAATAAGCCACAAAATCTAGAACCCATGATAATGCTGCCATTAAATGTGTAAACCTACACAAACTTTCTAAATTTCTGGATAAATTGAACACAAAGCACTGTAAGATTTTGAAAATCCAAGTCCTAAAATGCTATAAATCTCCCCACTTTGGCCTTAACTCCTTACTATTTAGAAATGTATGTAATTGTTGTCTGACAGTAACCCTTAAACTAATCTTTAATAGTCTACTAGTCACTAATCTGCTTAAAGCTTCAAGGACAGACTGAAAATACAGGGCTGAATAAAAGCTGTTGTTTTAAATGGTACCTTTCATGGTAAATTTCAGGTTAAGTACTACAAGTAATGTAAGTGTCATTTGAAACTAAGCAGTGATTCTCTTTCACTAAAGTTTGTACCAAAGCAAATACAATGTTCGATATCCATTTGGTTTAGGCGTGCTTTGGCTTCAGAACAAAGCTTTCTCTTATGGAGTTACTTGACTGTTTATGTATTTCAGGATTGTGAGGAGCTTGGCTCAGTGGTTATGTGAATGCAGCCTGTGTTGCAGAATATTTAGTTATTTTTATGTCTGAGAACTGTGTGACTTATGATTGAGCTTGCTTTCATGGGAGCTATCAGTTTTGCCGCGTACATCATGTCAGCGCTGGAAGCCACCGCAGCTCTGCTCTGATTTTGTGCGATACAACAGCCCTTCCCAGCTTTTGTCCACTGTGCAGTCAAACATGCTGTGAGGCATTTCTTTTCTTTATATGCGGAAATCCTGTTTTACATTTAATTGTTTAAGACGTATTAAAGGGGGCAGGAATGTTTTTCTCACTTTCCCACTTCGAATACCATGCATTTTAAAACATTTGCATAAAGATTGTAACGGCGTCTCTGAAAGACAAAAACTCTTCACATTAATCAGAGTTACAGTCCAAGACTGGGTTTGAATGCGAGTTTGTCCTTATAATCAAAAACAGTGAGAGTAAATTAATTGCAATTATTGAATCCTTAACATCTGTTAGTTGGCCTTCAGGGCGAAGAGAGAAAGGCTCCAGAGTTTGGAGAATTTTACAGAATATGGAGGATGATGACGAATACAGCCAAGAATATTAAAGCAGATCTGAAAATAAGTACAAAGAAGCACATGTGGGTGTTTTTTGAGACGAATAAAGTGGTGGTGTTTGTTGTTTCAGGGTGCTCTTTTAACTTGTATATAATGTAGCTATACAGATTGAAGAATGTGTGCAAAATTATGCACTTCTACTGAAGCTGTATGGAGGAGTTTGAGTCAAATGAAAGATGATTATTGATCAGCCTTTGTTGCCATGTGTTGAGATTGTATAATTGCAGACATGCTCTTTCAGGACCCCAAACAAATATTGGAAAGTTTTTCCTAAGCAACATTTCTATGAAACGGCCTCAAACACTGATTCTGACTATGATGTTTTACAGTTAGACAGGCTGGAACAGATGAAGGTGTTTGTAAGATATAAGACAGGAGAAGTTATTTAATCACAGCTCTCAAATTGCTTTATGAATGTGTTAATCAGTGAAGCTTATTAGAAAGTAATTGCTATAAATGTAGAAGTCTTGTATTCCAGGATCACTCTGCAAGTGACATTCATCCACGTGTCTGTTCAGTTGTTAAATTGATTAATTGGTAAAGCAAAAACGATATTACAGACCTACACATTCTGCAGCTTTTCGTTTGGGAATTCCTGCATCCAAAAGAAAGGGGAAAAGAACTCTGCACACATTGTAAAACAGAAACACATCTACTGTTTCTTGAGCTAGTTTGTATATGAAAGGAAAACTGTGAAAACTGTTTGCAGTCCTGCTGGATAAGATACAAAACGTTTTTTTATCTTATCCTATCTGTCAATAAGCTCATTTTATTAAGGTTTCCAGGCCAGCGTCCCTCAGGTAAACCTTGGGTAACATCAGTGTGCTGTGTCACATTGTGCGATGTTATGAAAAACTCTTTGACAGCTGTCTCCTTTTCAACAGAGTAATCAACTCACAGGGCTGATTTTTGTAGACATCCAAGAACAGCCTCTCCACACTTCAGGATCACACCTGAAGATGTGTCAACACACACATACACAGCCCACATTCCACTGTAAGACAGTCAGCACGATGCAGACACTACAAACATATCGAGATTAAAAGTTTTTGCTGACACACACAGATCTAAAAGAATAAATCAGATCTGATTTAAAAAAACAACTATCTTCTCAGTCCTGTGTTGGTTTGCAGCATTTTCAAAGCATCATTCAGTTTGACTCATGTTTTCATGTCTAAATTGCTAAATAGGTGATTATGCCAAAGAAAAAAAAGTTTTCCAAAATATAACTTCTCCCCCCCTAAGTGAAGGTGTCTTTCATGAAAAGGGTGGCGTTACTCTGAACCTGAGCTTTGTTTGAGTGATATTGGAGGTCACATCAGACATGAGATTTAAGAAAAATAAAATTTGATGCCGTACAGGTTTAGGTCGTGTAAAACCTCTCGATTTTTTTTCTTACTGCACCCTGAAGTAAAGACTTATGATGTGTAGTAGATTACTCAACAACCATCTGCTCCTGTTGGTGATCACTGACCTATATTTTACATTTACAGTGGATTAATGTCAGCATCTGGTTTTAAAGGGCGTCATCTCTGATATGAAACGAAAGAGAGCATTTGGATCAGAAAGACAAAAACTGAATACTTTTTTCACCCCAGAAACTGTCTTTTAAATACAGAGTCTTTTATTATAGTAGTGAAAATAGATCCATATTTACACCAAAGAAGTGCCAGTTAGACTCAAAAAGTGAAGGAAAGCTAAATGAAAACAGGAAAATGACAGTTAAAAAAATCCAATTGAGTACGGAAGACGAGCATCAAGAGATCAAAGGAGGTTGAATACAAGAATTGTTGGTCTGAGGAAAATATGATAAAGTGACAAAGAAGAAGACAGAAAAGATAAGAAACTGGAGAGGAATCGTCAGGAACCACCTGGACAATGGGATAGGGTTATGGGAAAAAGCCTGGGCGGAGCAGTGAAGATGAAGGAGATTACTGAGATCTGCCTCAACATGGAGAAACAAAAAGAAGTGCAGTAAAGAGATGAATGTGAAGAATAACAGAAGGATGGGGGTAATGAAGGAGGGATAGAGGGAAAGCATCTATGATACAAGCGTAACTAATGTGGGTGAAATCCTCAGGCAACCAACAGCTAGTGCTCAGCGGGATGATCAGCTAATCTGGCACACTGGCTTTTATTAATGAATCAGCCAAAAGAAGGAGAGAGACGGAATGAGAGAAAAGGGAAAAGAATGAGAACAGTAGAGTAAAAACAAGTCAGTGTGAGAGATGAGAGGGTAAATATAGACCAAGGTACAGTCATATTTTTGTCTCCAGGGCAGAAATAGTGGCTCGGCTTTTAGCTTTCGCCAGCATCTCGTCTCTAGTCAAAAATGTATTTATAGGCACCCTTAAAAAGAAAAAAACACTGAAAAAGTGAATTCATAATAATGTTTAAACGTATTGAGGTGAACTGAAGTCCTCCAAGATTCAGCTGACTCAGTAGTTTACATGTCATATTAGATTGACCCATAAAAGTTTGGAAAATAGGTAATCAAGTCAGTTTTTTTTTTTTTTTTTTGTAAATGCTCTAATTTTATAAACAAAGAAATGGCAAGTAATGTTTAAAGGACGAAGCCCGAGCAAATGACCAGGAAGAAGAATTTCTCTTTTAGATGATCATTTGCTCCTGTGGGCTGCAACAAAAAGGCACCTGGACGGGATTGATTTAACGGCACTGAACAAAATGGAGACAGCCACTTCAAAGAAATGACCTGCCAATTCTGAAAGTTTTGTGCTGAATGGTGTGCTTATGCCTGCCCATAAGCACACTTTGCTTTAAAAGTGCAAGTCTTGGGTTTCCCACGTTTTGCAAGTCAACTTGTGGCTAATTGAAGTAACATTCTCAGATATCCAGCACAAAATTCAAATGTGATCATTAAGTATTTCTGATGGACAGAAGATGAGCTGGTCGGTTGTTTTTCATATGAGCATATGAAGTGTTTCTCCAAACACTGTAACTTTTATGTAGCTGGTGATTATATAATTGGAATAACTTTTTACAAATAGCTGTTTTTTGTGTACAAGCTGTTCTTTCTCTGTGGGTCACTGGACTGTCACTTTTAAAAAGAAACAAAACAATTCCCCTTAATTCACTATTGTTGAAGCCTAACTGAGCGCAACTCCAGACAATGGGTTCAGTTTAACTTCTAGAAACAAAACAAGGTCAGCCGTTTTAATGTTCTCTCCCTTTCTTAATCGTGTATGTTTGTTTGGTGCTCTGAGCTGCGGATTTATTGTGTGTGATGGTGAAAATTGTCTGCTGTGAATAAAACGTTTCCTTTTTATTCCTTTCTTTTGTTTCCTGCAGACCACATGAGACGGTGGTGCCTCTTGAAGACCCCATTGTTACAGAGGTGACATCAACGCTTCAAGAATGGGCTCTACTATGGAAACAGCTCTATGTGGTGAGTGACAGAGAATATGTGTCTATTAAATAGTCTTAATAGACTATTTAATCCAGTCTATTAAGTGCATTAGCAGTGTATCCTGTTATGGTGTGAAAAAAATAGCAGCCTACTATAGGCATCCCCATGAAAAATGATAGTAAAGTCACAAATAACCATTTGTCAAAGAAAAAAAGCAGTCTGAGCAGGTTTTTAGGTGATTGGTTTCACCCCAACATTAAAGAATAAGCCCGTTTTTTGCATTCCATTTGTTAAGTATTACAAACATATAAGTGCGTTGCTTTATAGGTTTACTCGCTTATCCCCTGATGTCTTTCTTCATTTTGTTGGATGTGTCAGTATCATGTCATTCCATATATCCAGCTAGACGTAAATGGAAAGAGGGGAAAAAAGATTCTGTGACTGAAGCCTTGTTGAGATCTAAATCTGTCACTGTCCCTTGTCTACTTCGTTTGTTCTGAGGGCTGCATTCATCACTCATCTTCCTCATGTCCTGCCAATCCTGTCACTCTATGTTTTTATTCAAAGTTAACAGACTTTTGTCTTTGCTCCCTGGCAGAGTTGAAAGGATGAAAGACAAACTGTCATTGTCAGGTCCTGTATGAAACATTTTCTATTTCCATCCTGACAGACCTCACATTATAACCCTAATGCTGCTATAGATTTAACTAGAAATTACACTGCTTCTTCTGAATGGATGAGTCAAAAAGAGTAGATAATGAGAAGTGATTGTCATGGTAGCAATCTGCTCTAAGATCACATGCTGGAAATTATTTTCAATAAAAAAGTACGAGTGTGTAGACTTCTGGTTATGGAACTGCCTTTCTGCAAACCGAAAAGAACTCCCCCTGTCCATCATCTGGAGTCTCTGAAGTGGAGTTAAACCTGGAGTAAACAGCAGAATGGTGGTCAGATCTTTTGGATTTTGTGTGCTTTGTTTATGTGGGGAAAAGCTGGCAACAGGGCACAGAGTGATGCCCTGAGCTATGTGCAACAACCTAAACATCGTTCTGGAACGTCTTCACCACTTCCTTGACAGCGGTATTCCCCATGGCAGCCGTCTCTTTTGTACTGAACACTCTATCAGGTATGGTGAACAAAACCAGGCATTTGAGGTGTTGCCTTGTCCTGTAAATAACCTTAGAAGGCAGCCATACTTTGGTGGATAACAAGTCTGATGGACTAACACCCCCTCACAGCTTCCAGCTGATGCCATGCAGTGAGGTCAGAGTCCAGGTCTAGACAGGTCAGCCCTGTTTAAGGTGCACAAGGGGGCATCGTGCTATGCTAACACCTGACATGATGCTCACTCTTCTCCACTTTGACAATCATACAGTGACACAAGGCCGAACCCCCAGAAATACACTGATGTGTCGAGTCCCCGGTTACTGGATGTTTGATAGTGTAGACACGTGTAAATGTGACAAATGCAGCAGAGCAGAAGCAACGGGTGACGCACACACATGCACACACACAATATCAGACATGTCCTGTGATGGACTAAATCCACGCTGCTGTGCCTTCGTCATTCACTTTCCTTTCTTTGTGAACGTCCAGCTTGTCGTGTGCTTTCACCTGTGAATTGTTTACGTGCTGCTGGGGCATCATCTACTGCATTTTATGTTGATGTGAGAAACACTGTGCTGTGGCGGCTAATCTGCAGTGTTGACCGTTAGATACTCTGACCAACCAAAAACCGGCACACCCCATAAATATGAGAAGCAACATATTAAGTAAATGTTAAGCATTCAGAGCATATTCGACTAGCACACAGCTGAAGAAGTTAGTTTTATAATATAATCCTATTACCTTTTTAACCTTTTACGCTTGTTGTTTCTGTACTGCTTTTATTTATCCTGCCAGTATAAAAATAACCTGTTTCTTCCTCAGTTCTTCTGTCCCATGGTCTCTCTGCCTTCCTCTACTTTGCCTCCTTTGTGTCGTCTCTCAGACGATATTAAAATAGATGGAATGGCATGTCTGTGTGTGGGTAGGCAGGACAAACGTGTGAACAAGAAAGACAGACAAGGGGGAACAGTGACAACCGAACAAAGATGGATGGAGGGATGTGGAGACGGGGGATGAATGCAGAAGGACATGTTTCTTTGCTGTGAAATTCAAAGAAAAGATTGTGTGGATGTTCGTGTGTTCAAAAGTTGAGACGACAGAGGGAAAAAAACGAAGTGACTGGAGTGATGCTGGGGGATGAAGAAGAGGATGGGGAGTCTGTCCTTGTCCAGTTCTTTTAACTTTCTAATGAAAATGCATGTTTCTGTTGTTGCACTAAAGTATCAGAAAGAGAGTGCAGACACAAACTGGGGAGGTTATAGTTAAGCACTTTATTCTATTGATCAGTCTGTAATTTAAAGAGAAAAAAGAGTAAACATTTTTATAGGGAATATGCTACTAATGCTTATCATGTTTTTTTAATGTTTTTTTATGTTAACAAAGAGGAGAGTTGAGCAATGAAAACAGCAAATATCTCTGGATGTTCAGCAGCTCCACTTTTTTTTTATTACACTAGCAACAAGCAAATCAAAAGAATAAAAGTGGGAAACATTTTCAGACTAATTTTAACTTTAATAAAGATTTGTCAAGACTTTTTTATGGTTAGAACCTTAATTGGTAATCATGGCATTAAGACACAGCAAGAGGCCACAGTTTTTGTCAGTAAGTCTTTTTGAGCTGAAAAAAAGCTGCAAACATAAAGCAAATACCAGAAAATATTTCTGAAAAAAGCACTGAAGAGTAGCTGTTACTTTCAGCGAACTGGTACGTTCCTTTTTATTCACTTAAATATAAGACAACAATGCAATCAGCAGAAGGTGGTGAACTACAGAGTCTCGTAATGCAGATCGGAGCGCTCCACCTTAAGCACAAACCTGGATATTGACAACACTTGCAGAAAGAACTAAGCTTATTTTTTTGGTCTTTCATAGTCCAGACTGAAATGTCTGGAGGTAATTGGTCTGGTCCACATGGGTAAGTACAAAACTTTGTTGTGTGTAACAGAAGGCTATTTCTGAGTTGGTGTCTTCCTGATGTGCGTGGGTCTGTGCATCTGTGGGAGAACTTCAAATGGTCAGGAGTTACATGAAAGTTCAGACCAACAGGACACTGGATGATTCTGGGTCGATGATTTGTGGCTCTGCCAGCATTTCTTTTAAAAAAAGCATCTGGAGATTATAAAAAGTCTAACACTGTCACACCGCCAGTCAGGTTTAAGAAGAGGTCATGTCTGTATTCCTGAGACGATCTACAGTTCCCATATCTCTAAAGTGCAGGTCAGAACAGTTTGACAGAAGCATTAGTTCGCTCCATGGGAAATGGATTAGGGTTAGAGCTAATTGTTGGTAGTTCCTTTTCTCATGATTTTACTTTAAACAGAAAAACAACTTGTATCTCATGATACAAGTGTCAGTATGACACAAGCAGACTTTAGGGATTTCTGCTTAATTTTTACTTCAGGTAGCAGACATTTCTAACAGGTAAGCCCCCTCTTTTTTTTTTTTAAATTAAAGAAATATGTTGTCCCCAGGATACGTGTTTGTCCTTTTTTTTTTTCTTATTTTGGTTCTACACATCATGGCTGTGCACAAAAAACATCTCAAGAGGAAAAGAAAAACAGGACGAAAGAAAAACAAAAGGTGAATCTGAGAGCAACACATTAAAAGGCGAAAAGCACTGAAGGGAAGTGCAGCTCAAGTTGTTGATGAAGAAAGGCCTAGTTTCTGCACATCCTACTGTCACACTTAACCTTCCTGAGGTGATTTCTGGTGTTAATAAACTTTGGGTATTGAGACTTGTTTTGTTTACATGCATTAACAGCTTTAAAAGAGCTTTCGGCTCGTTGTTTGCTTCCTGAGGAAAAGGTCCACAGCAGACATGCTGGCATTGAGTTCATACACACGAGTTTTAAATCTTCTATCATTTAGTGTGAATTATATAGATATTCAGTAAACTTGAAATTTGGCAAAGCCAAAAAGTCAGAATTGAAATCAATCCTTGTATTATTCTGAATTCCCCCTTTGCAGTAAAATAAAGGCTGTTTTTATTCTATTCTACATACTATTTTGCAGTAATGACATTAATTTAAATGCATTTTTATGTCTTTTACCAGATTCTTATGAAAGGAACCACAGAGAGCTTTAAAGGGTGATCAGTATCTTTATTTTGGAGGAAAAAAAATATGTTTTCTACAATGATCTATTTGTCATTCATTTTGAAAATACAGTTTTAATTAGTGGGTTACAGCACACAGCAGTAAGGACAGTTTGACTTTTGGATGTTATAGCTATCGTCTTTCCTTCATCTTCCTGTTTCCTTTTAATAACTGGTTTAGATATATGCAACTTATTTGATGTATCTAGAAATGATTAGAATAGGGAGCAGAGGGTATTTATATTTCTACTTTAAGATTGAGCAATAACTGACCAAGTGGAGGTTGGCATGGGAGAGATGAGCATGAAGCCGACCAATGACTCATAAGAGAGGTCATGGGAAACAAAGTCATAAAAATGTGTAAAATTTGTGAAGTGCTTCATGGAGTGAGAGGAAAATTGAGACGACGTGAGGAAGATATCATGAATGACAAAGAGCAAATGTCTTTTTACTGCTCATGAACAATGCAAACAGAAAAATAATGAGAACACACTAATAAAACAGTGACGTGGCAGAAAAACAGCTCTTATAAAGCCCATACAATATTGAAGGGTGTCCAAAGTCAACAAAATGCAGAGTGAAACCACAGAAACTAAAGACAGGATGCTTTTCAGTTGTTCAGCTACATTGGGCAACCTGGAGCCGAACATATGGCCTCCAGTTGTAGTCCAGGGCTTCAAAAGCTCATCTTAATATCACAATTTGACTGAGACGCACTTCACGTAATTTAGCTGCCTCAGCAAACTGGACAAAACCTGGTTGATGACCAGGAAGTATTTGGAACCTATTTCTTAACTACTTCTGCATTCGGTCATTCATTCTCAGGTCCAGATTTTAAG